CATCGCACCCAATAGAAATAATGGAAGAGACGGAGAAGAGAGGGAGGGTGAGGTCGAGGAAGAGTGGTGTTGTGTGGCCGGATCTTGAACCAGAAGGGCCGGTGAAAAAGCAGGGTGACTCTGAGATGAAGCTCAAGGAAACTTTGAATGAGGAAACTATAGAGACTAGGGGGAAGAGAATGAGCCAGAGCATTGAGATTGTTATGACGGAGAAACAGAAGACGACTAGGTCGACGAGGAGGAGTGGGAATTTCCAACAATTACGACAGTAAGGGTATTCAGGACAAAGTTCAAATTACTTATTTATGCCAAGTTATTAAAGTACATCAAAGGATCCAATCTACCTAGTCAATGAACGCCGTGGTCTCGAACCTCATCTTTCAATCTCATCAGTCTTCTCATCCATCATTTTGTTGTCCAGCCCACTCCACCATCTCATCTCATCACGAATTCTCACTCCCTAAATCCAAGTCGGCGGTCTCCCCTGTCCATTCCACACATACTCCCTAACCCCTCTACCCATATTCATGTCGTCCCTCGCCGCCAACTCCCCCTCCGTCTCCGCTCCCTGATCCGTACTATCCCAACTCCCATTCCTCGTACTTCTCCACAGCCCTGTGCCCCCCTGCCACCTCGGCAAAGTACTCCCGGAATTCCCTCTCGATCCTTTTGTCGTCTTTGACACATCCACTCCCGAGCGAGCCATCAATCCCGTCGGTGATGCCGAAGCCCCATCCCCCACCCTCTCCCTAAACCAAACCCTCAACGCCGGACAAAAAAACGCCACCATAACCGCCAATGCCTCAATAACCCCATAACTACTATTAGCCCTCGTCAATTCCGCCATATGCACATGCCCATCCTGCACTAAAGGCCAAATCGCAATCACCCTTAACAATGCCATTGTCGGTGCCAACATCCCAATTATCACAATTATGCCAACTCCTAGCTTGTCGTATCTTGTCACTAGACGCTGAGCTAAGATGAAAAGGACCAGCAGCAAAAGGAGGAGAGAGGTGGAGAGGTTGATGCCGAATTGGAGGATGACGCCGGGGAAGGAGTTTTCTAGGGCGCAAGTTGGCGGGGCCGCCCAGTTGAGCGAGATTGGATGGCAGTAGAGGAGGGTGGAGAGGAGTTGCGCCACGCACGTAAAAAGGAGGTAGAGGGTGGTGAGGTAGAGGGTTATGCGGAGGCGCAGGCGTAAGGCGGGGAGAAGGGGGAAGAAGTAGCAGAGGAAGGCGAGTTTTATTATGGTCATTTCGATGTTGTAGGTTAGGGAGAGGGTGAAATTTGCCTGGTTGTGGTTAGTATCGCCATCTATTATCAATTTGTATCCAAATCTCAAGGCCCGAGTGATTGGAAATAAAGGGACGGGAAGGATGTGGCGGTGATAACTTACAACCAAATGGCTTTTCTTCAACATCTCATTCAACACCTTGGCCTCATCCTGTACGCCCGGAAACTTCTCAATCAATTTCTTCTCCTCCACAACGTAATTCATCATAGTCCCAGAATCAACAATCACCAAAAACCCATAGATCCCGAAACACCAATCCGCTATCTTGGACCAGATTGTTGCTCTTTGTTTTCGAAGCATATACATACGACAGAAAACAAAGAGCGGGGTGACAAAAAGTTGGACTGCTAATAAGGCGATGAAGAAGTTCACAGGCACCTTCGTAGATGCCGGGCGGTGGTGGTGGTGGACGTGGCCATGGTCGGAATCGTGGGAATGCCCATGGATGTCGTCGAGAAGTTGTGAGTGGTATTCGTCGCCGTGGGGGGAGTGAGAGTGGGAGTGAGGTGGTAGCATTGCGATGATGTGGTTTGCTGTAGCCTGTTGAGACCTTGGGTGGTACCGATGGGAGGCAGTGCAGGGCAGTGCGTTGGTGATGAGGTAAGGATAACTGGTAGAGAGAGAGCTGGAATGGGATTATATGGTGCGGGTAGGCACATTCGGGTTGATATTATCCCTTTATAGGGTGAAAAGTGGTGTCGAGTTTGTTCCACAGTGAATTTTGAGTCTGCGGTGTCAAGGATGAGTATATATTGGTTGGAGTTGTCTGGGAATGTATCACATCACACTCCCACAATTATCGAAGAATACAACTTGCTGTATATGAAAGTCAATCAATGACGGAAGGTTTGTGGCAAAACATACACTTTGTTGTTCTGGAAAAAAGAAATGCTTACGATCGTTGCCCGATGGACTGGTTTAGTGACGATTATGAACATTATGAAGGGTCGAAACTAGACTATTGCTTTATAAAGCGCTCTGAATTCGCGTCTCTTCATGCTCTCATCATCATAATCCTCATCAGCATCATCATCCTCAACATCATCATTCTCAGCATCATCATCCTCAGCATCATCATTCGCATCAACAGCCTCATCAACATCCTCATCAACATCCTCATCAACATCCTCATCATCATTATCCTACCATCAAACACCACACTAAACCAACCAAACCAACACGCGATACCACTTCACTATGTCGCCGTCTCCTCTCCTCCCGATTCAACAGCCAAGCCAACTTACCATCAATCGCTACAAACTCGACGAGGACAAGGACGATAAGCCCATCTGGGAGCTTTGGGTTATGCTAGTTGGTGTTTCCGCTTGCGTTGGTTTGGGCCTTTGGAACCTGGCCCAATTCGTCCTCGAGATGAAAAATTACCGGTCAGCCGGGGCGAACTAAACTCCGGGACTGGGAACCAGTTGTGTCCGGGGGTGCATTACGGTGGTACTTATCGGTATACTGGTCGGGGTATAACTGGTTTATGAGGGTGGAGTTTAACTTACTACTTATAATATTGGTACCGGAATTGATATTTTAATATTTGTGGTATTCTTAAACCGCGTGCTCCGGTGATTTTCCAAGTGATTTCCCGTAATGTATACAGCGTTTGTCGCGATTTTGTAGTGGCACTGAGGCATCGTGACAGGGTGGTGTTGAAATCATGTTCGTTGGGAGTGCAGTGCTGGTATTGATTGTTTAGATGGAGTAATTATAATTTCTGACCGGTATTGTCAATTCTGTCCTCGGTGTTGTGATGTCGGCGAGAAAGTACGGTTAATTGTACACTGAGAAGTTAGCACTTGGTAGATATTTGTTGCGTGTGTAGGAGATGGATGAATTACAGAAAGCCAGCTATATATCATTTACAGGTCATCAGATGTTTTGGGTTTGTATTCCGTTGTAGAATAATTATGCGGATTTGGAAGGTATTCGGTAGACGTGCAGTGTACTGGAGTGGAAAGCAGGGCGAGTTATGTGCAAGTTGAGCTGCCAAAGTAAGGGTAAGTAGTGTCACGTGTTTATTGTGACTTTTTTTAAAGGGAATATGTATTAGTTTTAACATGTACAGAACATACAAAAGCCCTCGTAGTGTAGTGGTAACACATCTCACTTTTAACAGACCTAGTACTAGCCGTTGATGGCAGGAACAGCCCTGGCTTAGATCAGGGAAGATCGCTGGTTCAACCCCAGCCGCGGGCATTCTTTTTGCTGCTGCATTTTTCTCATTGGTCGCGTTGATCTTTGGCAGCACGGATGGCGGTTGACGGTTTTTTTATCACAGGTTCATAGGTGATGACTCGGTCACGGGACGAAGTTGTGGAGCCTCATCGCAATTGTAGAGCCTCTTCCATTGCACACATTATAAACTATGTATGTATATCTACGCTTGAACACTTCTGCGGATCAGCTCTTATACTAAGAGAGCTAGAATAATATAGTCTTTTCCACAGTGTTCCGTGGTGCATAACTGGTTGCCGTCGTTTGTTTCGACTTCATCTTGTGGGGAGTGGGATGACTGTAACCCATCTCAACGGAATAGTATGTTAATCCTATTAAGAAGCGCAAGCTGCGGAACAGGACTGATCACATCGGATTGTCTACATAGAGAGCCTAGGACCAAGCGTCCAGGCGACAGTAAGTATTAGCGAGCGGAACGATGCTCATGGCCATAGCCAGATATCGTACCAAAGAGCCACCTTCACAGTAAAGCTCGGCTACCACTTCGGCCATGCGCTCTTCCCATAGACGTACGACGTAACCAGTCCAACCGCAGCACGAGGAGAGCTGCCGGGAATGCATCATGCGCGGAGATAAACTGAGAAAAGCCGATGTGTGAAATATCAGCGGCCGTTGAATCTGAACTTCAACCCGAGAGCAGTAGCAACAATAACGAGTTTCCCAGTGAAGGATGTCCTTCTCCTTGTTACTATGAGGTGCAATGGAAGCTTGAGCAGGGGCCACAACAGTTGCATTGGGGGTAGTTTCGTTTGGGGCATCGAGGGGGCCATCGTTGGGGTCGGAAGCAGGCTCAGTGGACTCGTTAGCGGGTTGCCAGACATGTTAAGCGGGCACTTGGGATGAAACTTACAGGCTTCTTGTGGGATCCAGTGTTGGATAGAGATGATTCGGTCATTGATGGTATTCTAATCCAACTAGGTGACCTTGGACTGGTACCTGAGAATGTCGACTCCAGTGAGTTGATGGTTTTGTTGGTGGACGGGGCACCAGGTAGTGTTTGTCGATGGGATGAAGGAGATAGAGTGGGTAGCATAAGGGAGAAGGAAGAGAGTAGAGGAAGAATTCGGCTAACTAACTGATCAAAACCGCCCTGTTTTGGATTGTTGGAGGAAATCATTGTAGTGGATGACATGGGTGGAGATATTCATGGCGAGTCACATGTGGTTGGGAAGATCGTCAACACGGCCAGGAGTGATGTACCATGTAAAACTGTAGCAAAGAACACTTTATCCCGCCTCTCTTAGTTTGAGAGCTGATACACAGAAAATTTCAAGAGTAGATGTACATATATAGTTTATAATGCGTGCTATGGAAGCCCCACTAGTGCGATGAGGCTCCACAACTTCATCCATGACCGAGTGATTAGCCATGAACCCGTGATGCAAAAATCCGTCTTCCGTCAACTTTTCGTCACCCACCCACAACCTAGCCAATGACAAAAATACAGCAGCAAAAAGAATGTCCGCAGCTGGAGTTGAACCAGCGATCTTCCCAGATCTAAGCCAGGGCCGTTCTTGCCATCAACGGCTAGTACTAGGTCTGTTAAGAGTGGGATGTGATGCCACTACACCATGCGAGCACTGGTATATTCTGTACATATTAAAACTAATACATATATTACTTTAAAAAGTAACAATAAGCACGTGACACTAGTTACCCTTCCTCCGGCGGCTCAGCTTGCACTTAACGTAAAACCTCACAATTTTCTCACCTGTGCAACCATACGCTCTCGAAAATTGTTCATTACCACCACACCAAGACCAAAATACATTACAGCATGTTAAATGCCTAATTCAACACTCGATTTCTAACAACTATATCTGATAGTACAACTTAATACAGCAGACACAAAAGTATTTCTGGCACAAATCGCGATGTCTCCGCATTCCGACAAGCCAAAACACGAAACCGCGATATTAACCGAGAAAGATAGTAGTCAATTACAATACATCCTAATATATATGCTGCCAAACGAAAAACATCAACGACATGTGATTGTGAAATAACACTATGCTACACCACGGAAGCTGCGATCAACAACGCTCCTCCTCTTCTGTTCACATCGTAAACAATCCCCATCTTGACCTAAAGTTTGTACGACAACAGAATCACCATAAACCTAGGTAAGTATTACGTGGTGCACTGTATCCCAACGATGCGCCGTCCAGGCTATCTACAACGTACCCTAGGTAGAATCTTGAGTCTTGACCTCCACCTTGACTAGGCCTTGACACCTGCCTTCGCCTTCGTCCCTAAAAATCTAACTCCACCTCGACTGATTCTCGTCTCATCCAACTCTTCATCCCCGAATCGTTAGGGACTCATCGATACTTTACGAATTACTGTTCAGCCTGGGTCCTCCTTCGCTCTCAAACATTCAACGACTGCAGGCACCATTACAACGCGAATAAATCTACTGACATCCGAGTCCTTCAGGGTTAAGCTCTATCGTAACTCTATCGATGCCAAATTTCAGCTACCGATTAGGATACTGCATGGTGTGAACAGTACTGTTTACACCTTTCCGGGGGCATTCAATTTTCGCGTCTAGAGTACTAACTACACAACAGAGCCTAAGCTGCACAGAAGATGACTGTACCTTGGTTTACAGACTTACTCACACTCAACCAGTCTACTTATTTAATGACGTGTTCGGAATCCAATTGACTATTTAGCTAAGAATTAACGCAGCACAACCACTTCAAAACTTCTTATTACTTACTACAAATATCTATAATCCAGACGTATCGTCTATTCGGCTCTATGTCCGTGTAAATCCTATACATTCTATCATGTTCGCAAAAAAGCATGAAATTAAAACAACAAAGCAGAACAGTAAAGCAAATCGATATCCGCCCCGCCTCCTAGGCTGTTTCCGACCACCCAAAGCTCCCCGCCGCTCTGCCCCATAGTCTCTACCCTCCCATCCTCACCTCCCACGCCTTCGTCTCCTTTTCCGTCTGTCCCCTTCGTCGCCTCCGCCCCCCTGAAACTTCATCGCCCTACTAGTACTTGTCCTCGCTGCGTGCCTCCCACTGCGCCTCTAGAGTAACTCCGCCACATTCCGCGCTGCATCGGAGCCATACCAGTCCAACTTCAATTACAAATCTGCCATCTACTTCCACGCCACCCTCAGCCGCAGTGGTTCTCTATTCTCCGTGTTCTCACGCCCCATAACAGTATCCCGTTGCCTATGACCTTCCCTCTCACGTATCTCCATCCAGCGATGTGGTTCAACCTTTGTATGCTGTACAGCTGCTCTCGCTATTTCTTCCTGTTGCGTATTGATCCTGGTGGGAGGAGGACGGATTTTCTGGAGTTCTGCGGCTGATAATGGGATGGGAGAGTGGGTTCGTTCGGAGGGGTTCTCGAAAAAACCACCGGTATGGCTTTGGTCAGGGGAGCCCTGGGAGTCTGGGGGGTCCGGAGACAGTAAGATCTGCTGGTTATAGACTAGATAAAGATGTTCCCATTAATGATTAGCCAAGCCATAATGTAGTAATCATAATCAGATGGGGACTCAGAATCTACTTCTCTCACCCTCACCCAACCTATCTTCTCCAAGTGATGGATCCGCATCCTGAACCCTGGGAGGGTTATTTCTACGTGGTTGCCGCGGTGGTGCGAAAAATTTGGTACATTGCCGCCTTTTCCGTGTCGCAAAAACTCGACCGCTCCAGCTATTTCGAGCCGCAGAGTTCATATAGCCTTAGATACCTTGGATAACTTCCGTCCGTTATTCTTCGTAGGAATCTGGAATGAGGTGATATGATAGAGTCTGGATGGGTATTGGAATTCCGTATCTGCGCATACCAACCTCGAATACAGCTTCAGCCTTCAGGTGTCAATTGGTTTACCGTCTACGGCGGTTATGATGTAAAATGATCTTATCTATGCTGATTAGATTTTCAAAATGCGTTATGCGCGTGCAGTGATACTGGTGTCATTATTTCATTGCCGCTACCCTTTTCTAGAAGCGTTGTCGAGCAGATAAGATTCCAGAAACAAGCTTCGGGCCATAAACCGGCCACAGTCAAAGAATCAAAGAATGAACGAATTCCGAAGAAAACGGAAACAACAAAGGCCTCGGAGAAACAATGGAAATAAAAGGTCGCCGTTATACTCATGCAATCTGAATGACTGTGTTTTATTCGCAATTTGATTTTTTGTTTGAGGATAGCTCGGAAGTTAAAGCATGCGCAGTCTGTAACTACCAATGCGCATCATGACAAACCCTCTCTCCATGCGTGCATCTAGACAGCGCGCATCACATCACACATTACTGCGCATGCTCCCGTTCAAAAGTTGAAACGTAGAGTAAACCTCACCCGCTAGTGTACTTACCTACTCTATGTAGTCCGCTCTCCCAAACTCGCTTCCCAAACTCGCGTCCTAAACAGATAGCTTCACAACTGTAGGAACTTTCCCTTCTCATCGCCCAAACATCAGACGAACAAGGCAGGACCCGCTTGTCGGTGGGGTAGTCGTAGCCAGACGGTTAGGGTTAGCACCCAAGCCCCACCTCGAGGTCTACTTCTGGAAGGTGTTTCAAAGAAGCCCTCCCGCTTGCACGGTGCGACAAAAAAAGAAATCTTGCTATCAAGATTCCTACTCTACACTACGGCTGACTACGTTTCAAAAGCAAAAGTAAACGAAACGGAAAAAGAAAACAGGTCTTGGACTACGTCACTCAACGTCAATTTTCATCTCTTCATCTCCGATCTCGTATCATAGCTTTTGCGACTGAGTAAGCTTCGGTCTTCGATGCATATAATCGAGACTGTTTGCTGACTTTACTTCCTTTCCCGCCTCTTAATAGCACGCTGATATCATATCGCAGACAAAGAGATCGCAGCCCGAGATACCCCCACACTTCTCCTTTACTTTGCAGTTCATAGATTGAAAGGTGCGATGAACCAACGCTGCAGACTTCAAGGAGCGCTCATGCATCCCAGTGGCAGACTCCTGCATCACCCTGCACTCGAGTTCGACGATCCTATCACCACAGCAGCGTAGCCGTGGAAAAAATCGCATCATCTATCATCATCGTACCTTGGGCATACCTCTGGGCATCTCTAATGACCACTCCATCTTCACACCCCGTAACATCCAGACCCATCATATTGACATCATGTCCCGATCTTTCTCTTCCCATTCGCCAAAACTTTTCAACTCCAACACCACGGAGGTATCTCGATTGCATTAGAGACTCTAAGAACATGTCGGCTACTGCACTACTGCAGTTTAAAGACAACTGATGTGAACGATGTGAATGGCTGCCGACTACCGGCGTCTCTGCGCCCGTCTCTGCAGGGTGATGCATGGTGATGCGCTAAATGCTGCGAACGAGCTAGATCGAACCGTTTTACCCCGCACTTCGGAGCATCTGACCCTCGACCGCAGGGCACCGCAGGGGGAGTTCACCGTGTAAAGCTTTTCATTCGCGTACTGTGGAGCAGTCGTTCATGCCGTGATTCTTAGCACCTTCTAATTCGTGACATCCTTAAGAAAGCTTCGACAAGCTTCACCTATCATCATAACGCGAACGAGACACGGTGCTCGCGGTGCTCACGCGGCGAACATAGCTCAGATCCAGCTCAACAAACGTCAGATATTTGTGATGATCTTTTAGAAAAGTTCACGCGGCCTCAATAGCGCTGCGGCGTCAGATTTCAATTCGTGATAAGGTTTGTTCTTTCTTTGCCTAACACTTGTGGGTTCACGCGGGGCAGGGAGGTCTAGATAGCTTCTGCTTCTGCTTCGCTTGATAGGCGAACGCGGCGTTGTCAATTCTTAATCAGGTTTCTTTTTGCACGGGCTTTGCAGGGACGGCGAGGCATGTCCGCTGTCTTTCGCGGGGCTTTCGCGGGGCTTTCGCGAGTTGGGTTCACAGTTCACGCGGTATGCGATAGCTCGATGGCTCTGTCTATCACGTTTTTAGATGGATAGGGATCTGTTTTTTTTTTTTTTTTTTTTTTTTGTTTCGCTATGTATGTGTCTCGGATTAAGCGGGTCTGAATCCGATGATTTACCGTTGGCCGTGCGCTGATATAATCGTTGGCCTCGCATTGTTTTCGGAGGTTTCAGTTTCAGTTTCAGTTTACAAGCACCGGACTGAGTTTCAATTCACATCGAACAGCGTGTGCAGCACAACTTTCATGATAACTTTATTCCCATCATCCCCTCAACATCCCCTTTCAGCGAATTACTGTTATCTCCCATGAACAAAAAACCCCCCTCCGCAAAGTCAACCTCCCCAAAATCGCTATGTAAAAACAAAACACATGTCGAATGCAATTTGTCTTCTGCCAACCTCACAATCATACATCTTCCACCTGTAAGATAGATAATAAAAAAAAAAAAAAAAAAAAAAAAAAAAAAAAATAAAAAACAAAAGAAAAAATCATGAATATGTACTTGGTTCTCGTTCCAATCTCATCTCATAGTATCGACAATGCGATATCTCATCATAATCATCTGTCTCTCCATCTTAATCTCCATCTCCTTGCAAAGAAATCAAAAAATAAATGCAACGCTAATAATCAAATGAACGCCTTTCTAGAACTCCTGTAAAAGTCA